TGTATCTACAGCACTGGCCTCTGTAACTTAGGGATTGTCTGCTATGTCTTGTGTTGTTGGATTTGCTTGATGTTTGGCTGCTTCAGCAAAGTTGACGCTAGTTTTTTATCATAACAAATGTACAGCTGTCCATATTTACCACAGTGGGATTAAAACTGTGGGCACCAAATACCAACACTTAGATCGTGCTGGTTTAAATGTAGCTAGCTGCTTCATAGACTGGACACATTTCATGTCTTACCCCCCATTTTGAGCACATTGGTGTGATCCTGTAACAGACAGACTCTGAGTTTTAGAAGATCCCGTCTCCTGCCCTTCATCTTCACAGACTGACCTCTGCAAGAAAATTATACAATCAATGAAAACTGTTAACAATGCTTCAGTGTAGTTCTGTGTTGGTCTCACATAACTAAATATTCCTTCCTCCCTCACAGAGAATAAATATTATATTTGAACCTTGTTGCTGTCTGATATTCTGGGTCCCTCAGATCCTCCTGATCTAGACTTGTGTTCTGTACTGGCTCCTCAGCAGACTCCTCCTCCACATCTTCACCCTCGTCTTCCTCAACGTGGCCTGAGACGTCCCGGCTCCCCGAGTCCTCCACATCTGAATGGGATAAACAAAAAGAGAACGAGTCAAACTTTTGATTTTGTAATATTTATCGCCACAGATCTGTTATTTTATTGAAAGGTCGAGTGTCAAACATTGAGATGAATCTAGTGTCAGAAATATAATGTTCATGTTTTCACCAGAAATTAGGAATCGTTGTGTTTCTGTGACCTCCGCCCTGTTTCTACAGTAGCCCAGAACAAACAAACTAAACTGGCTCAAGAAACACACTGGACCTTTAAGTAAAAAGTACCAATATTTGGAGAGTAGTACTTGAGTTAATGTAGAAGACATACTTGTGTGCTGCTGTTCCTCCTCAGGGAGTTCACCTTCTCCAGCCTCTTCCTCCTCCTCTTCCTCCTCCTCCTCCTCTTCACATGCAGGTTCCTCTGGATCAGACACAAAGGTCGGTATCAGTATACGTTACTGACCGAGCAGAAGACTTTAGGTGAGAAGGGAAGAAGTTTTATAACGGTGGGTTCAGATTAGTGATCGACCGATACATCG